CTACACGACGCTCTTCCGATCTCCCCAAAACCCCAAAACCCCATAATGGTAAAATTTATAAAATTACACATTCAAAAGATATTAATATATAAAAATATTATAACAAGGATATTATATATTGAGAGGTTATGTTAAGATAATCAATTAAAGATAAATTTAATGAGAAAAATCACTACTACTGCAATTCTCAGTCTTATTGCAACTACCTCTACTATATAAGCTTAAGGCTGCTGGAAACATGCTTATGGAAGAGGAGCTGGAAAAGTCATTACAGATTGTCACGATAATGAGGATAAAAATGGAGCTCTGTGCTATCCAAAATGCAGAGATGGTTATCATGGTGTAGGACCCGTCTGCTGGGGAAGATGTCCTGGTGGTTATACAGATACTGGAGTTGATTGCCTAAAGCCAAAGTCTTACGGAAGAGGAGCTGGTTACCCTCTATGGGACCATAAAAAATGCAATCATCATCACTCTTAGGGTTGTGAAAAATGGGGAGCAATTTGGTATCCCAAATGCAATGATGGTTTCCATAATGCTGCATGCTGTATCTGCTCTCCAAATTGCCCTCACGGATTTACTGACATTGGAGTCTCCTGTCAGAAACCAACTTATGGAAGAACTGCAGGAAAACCACTTCATTGTTCCCAAGGGCTTGAAATGTCAGGTGCTCTTTGCTATCCACCATGTAAAGCTGGTTATCATGGGAATGGTCCTCTATGTTGGCAAGCTTGCCCACCAGGTTGGCACAATTGTGGTGCAATGTGTACACCTACTTCTGATGCTTGCACCTCATCAGTATTAAATATTGTTTAGAATGTTATTGAAACTGGAGCTGAAGTAGCAATCGGTGCTTTTACAGGTGAAGCTGATCTTCCAGCAATCATCAATGGAGCAGGAAGTACAGCCTAATCTTTGACTCAGGCAAGATGTCCAAAACCTTAAAATCTTTACATTTAAGTATAGACTCCAGCTTATCCTGAGTTTTTAAATGTTCAATCTCCTTTCTATAGTGACTACTTTAGACCATAATATGGTATATATTTTGAAGGCTTTCCTTTGGTACAACAGTTCTTTAGTGATGATGATTTCAATTTTTTGACTGATGTTTAAAGTAGTAGCAAGGGTAACGCCAATATCTACGACGGATCGGATGAATTTACTCCATTTGTGAGTCAAGAATACCACCCAATTTACTATCCAACAAACGAATTTAGAGATGGTTATTTTGATTACTGAAAGGAGTTTATTGAAAATATTTAAACGGGCTATAATGAATAAATAGTTGTTTCCGATTTACATTTAATTTCAAAACATTTATTTTCCTTTTAAAAAGATAATTATCTATAGGGGTTTTGGGGTTTTGGGG